GGCCGGCGCGGCAGGCAAGCAGGCGTGGCAGGCAGGCAGGCAGGCAAATGGCGCGGCAGCGCGCGAACAAGGCAGGTGCTCACCAGTGGTGGCAGGCAGGCAGGCGTGGCAGGCAGGCAGAAAGGCAGGCAGGCAGGCAGGCAAATGGCGCGGCAGCGCGCGAACAAGGCAGGTGCTCACCAGTGGTGGGAAGGGTAGGCGCTCGCCGGGCGAGGGTCGGCAACAGTGGCTGCAGAGTAGGGCCAGGGGCGGCTGCTGCAGTGGCGGCTGCCCCAGGGGCCAGGGGCGGCTGCTGCACGGGCGGCTGCTCCAGGGGCCAGGGGCGGCTGCTGCAGGGGCGGCTGCTCCAGGGGCCAGGGGCGGCTGCTGCAGGGGCGGCTGCCCCAGGGGCCAGGGGCGGCTGCTGCAGTGGCGGCTGCCCCAGGGGCCAGGGGCTGCTGCTGCAGGGGCGGCTGCTCCAGGGGCCGCTGCTCCAGGGGCCAGGGGCGGCTGCTGCAGGGGCGGCTGCCCCAGGGGCCAGGGGCGGCTGCTGCAGTGGCTGCTGCCCCAGGGGCCAGGGGCGGCTGCTGCAGGGGCGGCTGCTCCAGGGGCCAGGGGCGGCTGCTGCAGGGGCGGCTGCTCCAGGGGCCAGGGGCGGCTGCTGCAGGGGCGGCTGCCCCAGGGGCCAGGGGCGGCTGCTGCAGTGGCGACTGCCCCAGGGGCCAGGGGCGGCTGCTCCAGGGGCCAGGGGCGGCTGCTGCAGGGGCGGCTGCTCGAAGGCAGGCGCGAGGTGAGGTAGGGGCGGCTGCACCGAGTGCAGGCGCGTCTCGGGATCCAGGGGCGGCTGCATGAGGGTCCAGGGGCGGCTGCACCAGGGGCGGCTGCTGCAGGGGCCAGGGGCGGCTGCTCTGGGTCCAGGGGCGGCTGCTCCAGGGGCGGCGTCGCTGGTGCTCGGAGGGCGACAGCCTCCGAGCACCTGCTCGGCCGATGCACAAACGCCACTCACCCAAAAATAGTTGCACTGTGCAGCATAGCCATTGGTGTCGTCCGCGCTCCTCCCCTTTTTTGGCGCCAACAATACCATTAGCTCCACCCTCCCACGCCGCATAGCCTCGGCGGAGGCCACCCTGCCTATCGAGGCCCTCGACCTCGTGCCTCGCTTACGGGAAGGGGAGGAGCAAACCTAAATCCAACGCTTCATCTCCCTCCATGTGCAGGTGGCCCACTTCGCTGACGCCTGGGGGAAAGGCGGAAGCTGGCCGTGAACCCCCTCTGAGGCAACACCCAGCGCCTCCAATCACTCCTCGACCTGGAAGCTGGGGACTGGCTCACGTCCATCCCCCTTTCCAAATCCCACCGCATGACTGCCCCCCCTTCGCATCTGTGGATGCATTCCGCCTGGGGCTGCTGCCATTGTTGTCTGGCTGTTGTGATTGCAACAATTATTATGGACAAGACAAAGATTATGGACACACGCCTCCCAAACCACCTCCTTCATTACGGAGCTGGGTAAGGGCGCACCGGGACCCACCATGCACTCTGCAACGAGTGTGGCCGAGGCGACTTTTGATTCGACTCAAAGTCACCTCGCAAAAGAAGAGGGATTCGCAGTGCAGTTGGAACTCTATACAAGCCGGTGGAGGGCTTGAAGGCGGACTTAGCCATTAGGCACCCAGACTCGGGGGCGGTATGGCTGTGTGACATGACACTTACCGACGCTATCTCACCCCGATCCGACTGCGAGACGGGCTGTGGGTTGGGCAACATCCGTTGCAGCACGGGCGGCACGGTTTGCATGGGTGTGCTTCTGACAATGGCAGTGGAGACTTACAGGTACCACTCACTGGGAGTGCTCAATTTCATCCGACTTTGTGCCAAAATGGTAGGAAAGAGGTTGCACAATGCTGAGCCGACCTCACGGGAGGCCATGAAGCTGTACCATTCTTACCGTCAATGATGGTTCGTCATGCTACAGGGTGCCAAACCCAACGCCCTCATTGCCAAGAACCGTACGGCCTTTGAGGTCGAGGCTCGAGCCTCTGCTCGAGCGGCCGTAGTCAGCTTGCTTTGCTTACATTCCTGAAAATCATAGTGTGCTGTATCGACTGCTTATTCTAACGAAGGACCTTCTAGGAGAACCAGCGCTATGCATGGACGGGAGCGAAGGGTGGAGGAGAACCGGCACTATGCATGGACGGGAGTGAGGGGTGGAAGAGAGCTCACAACCTGTTGATTGGACTCAACTCACGACCCGTTGGTTGCATTCAAATCACAACCCGTCGATTGCACTCAACTCACAACCCGTTGATTGCACTCCACACACACGTGAACCGGGGGATAAGGGGTGACAAGATGTAACATGGACGAAACGAAGCCTACCTTGGCAGTTACCACTGGTCCCTGCAGCATGCAAGGGGTGAGTTACCTCTTTCCACATCCCCATCAGTCCCACCACCGTACATCAGCTGAGCCAACACATGTGGCACCACCTGAACAAACACCTGTCCCACCACCCACATCTGAAAAAAACACCTGATTCACTAGGCCATGTCGCTTCTCACCTTAGCAGCAATCTCCCCGAGTGGCATGAGCAAATTTGGGACAGAGAGATGGTTGGAGTCATCATGGAGGGAGAGGGGGGGGATGGGGGACCAGCCTTGGGGGAAGTGGATGGCGGAAGTGAGGTGGAGGATGGGTTGTTTGGGTTTGATTCGCCACACGCTGAATGTGGGGTGAGGAGTGAAGATCCACGTGGCGGATTGTGATTCGCTTTCCGTGCTGCTGGGTAATGAATTTCCTGCCGCTCCCGAATTCCAATTTCCTGATCCCCTTATCAACCCCCCGCACATAAGACCCAGGGGACTCACTTACCGGAGGGTCCTATATCTGGGAAAAGACGGTACTGCACTCTGATTACCTGGCTGATGCAGGGAGACGGGAGGGTGTACCAATGGAAATCCTCACTAATGACTGCCACGTAGGACGGCGAGGAGGACGGCGAGGAGGGAGAAGGTGGGTAAGAGGAAGAGTAGGAGGATGGAGAGGTGTTGCTGTCTTTCAGGGTTTTGGGGCACCTTTTCCAGTGCTTGAGCCTCTCTCCCATCTTTTCAGACAATAGAGCTGGTCTGATCCACGCTAAGTGCACACATCTCAACACGGTACAAGCAAATGGCACCATAATATTCATACAACATCCTCAGGATGCGTTTCAGAGTACAGGATTCATACTCAAACTACGGTACATCCAGGCAGGAGGATTCATCAGTTTGAGCATGCATCCACTCTGAACGCATCCATGCCTATGCATGTACAACATGGGTCTCTCTCTCCCATTCTCAGCACCATTCACAGAGCTCCCCGCCTGCTGGCTTCCATTACCACCTGCAGCTGCTTAGCACTTGCTCTGAAACATCGGGCACCCGCAGGCGAAGTTGATGCTTGCCTTACCACTGTGGACCACACGCCACACAGAGAACACAAGCAACAGATGCTTACTTGAATATCAACAAAATGTTCCAAGCGCATCAAATCCCACATCTCATGCAGCGAAAAAAGCGGAAAAAACCCCAAGAATGAAGAAACACAGCATGATGCATACTTGCATACACTCGCACGCCGGAAGGCATAAAGAGATACTTGGAAGGTACACTTACGCTCCATTGTGCATTGAGACAGTATCCCCATCGCCAAACGCCCACACAATGTTGTTGTCGTTGTCAGCCTTAACCTTCACCGATGCCCCATCGCCCTTGTTCTTCGTGAACCTGGTGTGAAGAGTGGTGGAACAAGTGGGGACAGGTGAGAAGATGGTGAGCAATCAAATGAAAGATCTAGAGAGATGGTGGAGAAAGAGAGAGGGAGAGTGCTACGCCTGTGGGGCTTATACGTAAGGGTTGAGTGCCTCCGCTGAGCCTCAAATGTAACCCTCGTTATATGAAGGCATATGGGTGGGAGAGTGGTAAAGAGCGCCAACAAGGCAGCTGAAGGACAAGAATAAAATTCACGAGGAAACCATGAACGACTGAACTTACGGCGAGAGTGCCTACAACGAGGGGACTTACAACGAGGGATCTGAGGACGAGGGAACACGCTGAATGTGGGGTGAGGAGTGAAGATCCACGTGGCGGATTGTGATTCGCTTTCCGTGCTGCTGGGTAATGAATTTCCTGCCGCTCCCGAATTCCAATTTCCTGATCCCCTTATCAACCCCCCGCACATAAGACCCAGGGGACTCACTTACCGGAGGGTCCTATATCTGGGAAAAGACGGTACTGCACTCTGATTACCTGGCTGATGCAGGGAGACGGGAGGGTGTACCAATGGAAATCCTCACTAATGACTGCCACGTAGGACGGCGAGGAGGACGGCGAGGAGGGAGAAGGTGGGAAAGAGGAAGAGTAGGAGGAGGATGGAGAGGTGTTGCTGTCTTTCAGGGTTTTGGGGCACCTTTTCCAGTGCTTGAGCCTCTCTCCCATCTTTTCAGACAATAGAGCTGGTCTGATCCACGCTAAGTGCACACATCTCAACACGGTACAAGCAAATGGCACCATAATATTCATACAACATCCTCAGGATGCGTTTCAGAGTACAGGATTCATACTCAAACTACGGTACATCCAGGCAGGAGGATTCATCAGTTTGAGCATGCATCCACTCTGAACGCATCCATGCCTATGCATGTACAACATGGGTCTCTCTCTCCCATTCTCAGCACCATTCACAGAGCTCCCCGCCTGCTGGCTTCCATTACCACCTGCAGCTGCTTAGCACTTGCTCTGAAACATCGGGCACCCGCAGGCGAAGTTGATGCTTGCCTTACCACTGTGGACCACACGCCACACAGAGAACACAAGCAACAGATGCTTACTTGAATATCAACAAAATGTTCCAAGCGCATCAAATCCCACATCTCATGCAGCGAAAAAAGCGGAAAAAACCCCAAGAATGAAGAAACACAGCATGATGCATACTTGCATACACTCGCACGCCGGAAGGCATAAAGAGATACTTGGAAGGTACACTTACGCTCCATTGTGCATTGAGACAGTATCCCCATCGCCAAACGCCCACACAATGTTGTTGTCGTTGTCAGCCTTAACCTTCACCGATGCCCCATCGCCCTTGTTCTTCGTGAACCTGGTGTGAAGAGTGGTGGAACAAGTGGGGACAGGTGAGAAGATGGTGAGCAATCAAATGAAAGATCTAGAGAGATAGTGGAGAAAGAGAGAGGGAGAGTGCTACGCCTGTGGGGCTTATACGTAAGGGTTGAGTGCCTCCGCTGAGCCTCAAATGTAACCCTCGTTATATGAAGGCATATGGGTGGGAGAGTGGTAAAGAGCGCCAACAAGGCAGCTGAAGGACAAGAATAAAATTCACGAGGAAACCATGAACGACTGAACTTACGGCGAGAGTGCCTACAACGAGGGGACTTACAACGAGGGATCTGAGGACGAGGGAAACTCCATATTCAAGAGCACACCGCATTGCTTACTTCATAGTGACCTTGCCACCAGACGTGGAGATCGAGCCCGATCCGACGGTCCACGCCGCATCGTCCGCCGATGACTGCCCGACGAGATCTTTTGTCACCGGGCTGCCCGAGGAGTCAGTGGCGATGGCGTTGCTGCCCGACATGCCGCCATTAGGCGAAAAGCCCACGGCGAACCACCCAGCAGCCTTGGCCCCCGATGCCACCACGGCCATCTTGATTGTCCGCCCCTTGGTGGCCTTCCAGTGCAGCACCAGCCTGCCAGGGGTTGCGGGGAGGGGGGATGTGCGGGGGAGGGGGGATGTGCGGGTAGGAAGGGGGCAGAAGCGGGTGGAGAGATGGGGAAGAGGATGGAGGGCGGAGAGCGTTCTAAGAAAATGGGAAGCCCACGGCGAACCACCCCGCCGCCTTGGCTACCGATGCCACCACGGCCATCTTGATTGTCCGCCCCTTGGTGGCCTTCCAGTGCAGCACCAGCCTGAGAGGGGGATGAGGAAGCGGGTGGAGCGAGGGGGATGAGGAAGGAGGCCGGAGGATGGGGCAGCGAGAAGCCAACGGCGAACCACCCTGCGGCATGCTATCACGGCCATTGCACTGTCCGTCCCTTGGTGGCCTTCAAGTGCAGCACCAGCCTGCCGGGGGGAGTGACATGCGCGGGGATGGAGGAATGCGGGGGGGGGAAGGGGGAATTCGCGGGGAGGGGGAATTCGCGGGGATGAGGGAATGCGCGAGGATGTGGGCGGCGAAAGCGGGTGGAATGCGGAAGTCGCACGCCGGAGCTCAGCGATCCAGCTCGCGCGACACGACGGCCGCTATTCCAGCGGGCCGCTGTTCCGAAGCAGTGTATCCCTTGAGGTTCGACTTTTAAGTCGACTCAAAACCCACGCTGTCCGTTACTGAGGCCGCAATCTGCCATCTGCTCTTACCCGGATGTGAGACCGGCCTTGGACGTGTATCCCTTGAGGTTCGACCTGCCGCAGCTGAAGCGGCCGAACAGCAGCTGGCGGCGAATGTTCGTCGCGAATGACGGCGCACGAGGGCTCTGCGACGACGGTTCGACGCGCGTGGCGACGGCCTGCGACGCGAGGAGCAGCACGCAGCTGAGAGCGAGCAGGGAAAGCGCGAGAAGGCGGGCCATGGATACGGCGATCGGAGGCGATCAGAGGCGACCAGAGGCGACTGGAGGCGACGAGAGGCGACGCGAGCGCGGCGAATAGGCGACGCGATTCGACAAGTAGAGTCAATCTTCACGAAAATATGACAAATTGCTCGAAGCGGCAAGGGGCGGGTGAGGAGTTGGATACGGCTCAACGTGGTTTCTCGGACCGAAAGGCTCAGTGATAGTGGTGGCGGGAGGGAAGCGTGGACCGTGGTGGGCGGCGTAGCGTGGCGTTCGTGCTATCTGGTCGGGTGCGAGGCAGTTGGGAGGCGTTAGTGACGAGTATGCTTGAGCGATGCTGTGATCGTGTTCTACATTTTCTACGTACTTATAAACGACGGGTCAACGAGAGCCGTAAACCAGAGACAGAGAGGAGGGGGAGGAATCAGGCGAGGCACGAGCGTGGGAGGTGGAGGATGAGGAAGGCGTGTGTGGGGGAGGGAGATGGGGAGAAGGGGGGAAGCGGGTGTCGCGAAACAGCTGCCAGCTCATCGCAGCTTGGTTGAGCAGCTTTGACGAGCTTGTGGCGAACTAGCCAGCGGCCTTCGTTGGGTTATGACGAGTCGCGACGACATGCAAAACGATGTCGCCATCTGGGTGGATCAACCAATCGACTCGTAGAAGTCGCCACGTCAGGCTACGGGAACCTCCTTCCTGCGTGTGCTGCAGTAAACACGGCACGGTCGCAGAGGTAACAAGCACGTGTCATTGGTGCCCAAACAGGTTTACTGGGTGGAGAAGATGCGCGCTTCTAGTGCGTCTAGCTAAGTGTCTGTGAGCATTCTTTAGGGGAGTTTGTTGGGTAAAGTACATACTGTAATCACCGACCTATCCTACCCTACGTAAAGAAACACACGTATCGCGGTCGACACGAATCAATGATAGGTCTTATGTGTCCATCAACGAATGGACTGTGGTTGTATGAAAGCGTGAGACGCGGCTTGGTTCCGTCAGAATGTCAACACTGCTTTCCTGGTCGGTGGCCAAGCTGGGGAAAAGAAACTCACTAAAAGACCATGGTTATGTGAATCGCCGTCTTAGAAGCAGCAGTGTTCTTGCAGTTTCAAACATAGAAATCACTATGATCCGAGTATTCAGATGTAATCCAGACACGCAAAAACAGCTCATGATATATATATATATGATATAATTACAGTACTGTGTACATCTCCTAATCCCCCCCGCGTGTGCTTTGCGCAACCAGGGGTTTTGTGATATACAAATATTTACAGTTTTAGGCTACTAGCATGCACCGCCTCGCTTCCCAGCCATTCTCTCCTTCCACTGCCACAAGGCGTCCCTCCAGTGCCTCTGCTTTTGCCTCTTAGCCACTCTCCCCACCTGATGCGTGCTTCTGGCAACATCAGAGCTCTCGCAGCTCACACATCTCTTGTCGCTGCATTGACTGCCACAATGGCAGGAATCCTCACACGGTGGGTCTACATCCATTCCTGTATCACCCATTGTGGTAACACCCGTGTCAACAGGAACTTCAAGGGGAGCCTCAGCCTCCTGTGGTTGAGTACTTGTGAGAATGTCGACCCTGTCTAGCAACTTCGTCAGCTTCCTGGCCATGTCCCGACGCGAGTTCCGAACGTCCTGGTTCGGGGACTGCACCTCGTCCAACCGAAGCAGCCAGCTCATGATCGTCTCGCTCACCCGAAGCTTTTCCAAAGGGTCAGAAACCATCTTAGCCACGAATTCGTTATTCCGAAGCTGCGCGTCCATCTCGTGAACCAGTTTCCGAACGTCAGCTATGGACCAAGCCAGTTCGAGAGGCTTGCCTTGGCGCACAGAATAGCCCCGCCATACTGCTTGCAACTTCCGAGCAGCATCGTCAGCCGATAATGACGATACGCGAGCGATTTTAGCAGCAGGAATTCCGGCGACGCCCGCCATTGGCGACGCTGCCGGCGTCTCGGGGCGCTTGCTACTATTGTTTGCTGGGTGCTGGACGGGTATTTGATGGGCAGCTGCTTGCTCCTGGTGCTGTGATTGTCGAATCTTTGTCTCATTCACGTCGTGCTGCGCCCCTCGCGCGTACGCTGCATGCCTTCGCGCGTCAAGCTCGTGCGCTTGCTGCTTCCGCGCAATCTCATGTTTCCGTGTGTCATTGCGTCGTCTCTGCGTCATATTCCCAGCTGATGAGTCAAAACCGTTGTCGAATAGGAACGGATCGCCAAAAAGCGGAGACGAAGAGGAGGCAAAGTTCCAAGGTGACGGTTGGGAATGACAATGGGTCGGGTAAGACGATGCGAGAAGGTGAGGTTGCTGTCGCTCGAAATGCAGATCTGACATACCGAATGCCATTCTCTGAAGACCGTCTATCCAATGAGGTGCTGGCGAAGCTGGTACGATTTTGAAAATAAGAGTTCGTCTAAAGCTTTGAGTTCGTCGTAAGCTGGTATGAAAGTAGCTGAAGGTGTTGTAGGTTTTTGAATGATGTCTCCGTCACTCGCCAATTGTACTTATAGAAGTGGCATGAATGATGACCGTGGTTCTAGAACCACCTCGGACTGTCGAGATGCAGCGAGAAAGCTCTGGTTAGCTCGGACCGAGCAGGTTTGCGAATCCGCGTGGTGCTTCGGGAATTCGCGTGTTTTTTCGCGAATAAGCGGTGTTTCGCGATTCCGGATATTGTTTCGCGAATTCGCGTGGTACCCTGCAAATCGAGGTGGTGCTTCGCCAGCCGCTTGCAACTTTGCAAAAACGCGTGGAAAATTGGGAAAGAGATGGCCTTTGCCCAGTGTGGTATTCCGTGAAATGCCGTGCCCGCTTCGTTGCGGAGCTCTGCGACGGGCAGGGCTGGGAGGGAGCAAGGGGGTGCATCGCGAAGCAGCAGTATTAGGGCAGGTTACCTCACGATCTGGTTGCGAGCGAATCAGAGGTCGTTCAGTTGTACTTTATGTTACAGTCGTTCAGAGAGTGTAAGATTTTGTAGGTAGCATATGCACACCAACACACCAAAGTGGGTCCATTCACCAATTACTGCCCTTTCAGCTGCGAGGTTCTCAATCAGTGAACATTAATCGATTAATTGATTCTATCATCAGCATAGCACATTAAACAAAAGCATTCACCTCTCATAAAATGTACACTACTGCACAAAGCCGGACTGAGAACCTAGAACCTAGAATTGAGCTGCCGAATCTCTGAGAATTGTGCTGCAGTTACAACATGATGCTCAGCCAATGAGCTCGGAGATAGGTGGCCTCTCCATGACATACGCAGACTGCTTTGCCGCCTTGGCCAATGAGGGATCGACGCCTGGAAGATACGGGATCTGCAATAGGAATGTACGCCGGGAGAGGAGGAGAGAGGTGGAAAAGGCAGAGGCAGGGATAACGTGAGATGCAATAAGAGGAGCGAGCGAGGGTGGGAGAAAGGGAGAGTGGGGACATGGAGGAGAGTGAGAGAGGTAGGGCATGTGACAAGGCATCCGGAAGCAGAGAGATGATGCTTTACATGGGGCAATGGTGCTCATGATAGATTGAGATGATCTTTGGGAGACGGTAGTTGGCTGGAGCAATGAAGTGGCACAACAAACCTGAGAAAGTATATCAATGGTGCGCCTTAGCAGCCGCGCAATGTCCCCCTCGTCCAGCCCCGCACAGTCAGCGATGAGCTGGCGCCACGTCACACCCTGCGCCCACGCCTCCACCACTCCAGCGAACTGCGCGTCCAGGTCAGCAGGGATTGCCACGTTGGCAGCCAGCTGGAGCTGCATCAGCCAATCGCGGCGCTCTTCAGCTTCGTACACCCACTCTTGCACCTCCCAGGAAGGCTCGTACGGGAAGGAGGGCGAACTGGCGGGGCGAGGGTGGGGGGAAGGGGTAAGTGAGACCAAAGGGCACGGCATAAGGGATAGGGCAGATGCGAAAAGCAAGTTCTGGATCGACTCGAAACAAACCCGCACATACGCCCACTCCTGCACATCCTAGGAAGGGTCATAAGGGAAGGAGGGCGAACTGGAGGGTGGGGGGAGGAGGAGTTGAGACCAAGGATGATATGAAAGGCTAGGGCATTAGGGAGAGGGCACATGTGGAGGACAAGTTGTGAGACGTCTCAGACCATGCCTCATACACCCACTCCCGCACCTGCCAGGACGGCTTGTAGGGGAAGGAGGGCGAACTGGCAGGGTGGGTGTTAGGATGCAACAAAAGGGAATGGGCAAAACGGGAGAACGAGGGAGGGTTTATGGTTGACACCTGAAATTTCTCACCTCTGCACTAACACCCGTCACCTGCTGCTGTCTCCCGTACGCATGTGCATGCCTTCAGAACCCACCACAATGACTCACCTGCCGTCGCCTGTGCGCATGCGCATGCCTTCAGACACCAGAGCAGCGCAGCACCCCGCTATGGCCGGTGGAGAGAGGCGCGGGAGGGAGGGGTGCGAGAGCACCACTGCGATCCAC